TCCTCCTCCTCCAACATCAGCTCTGCGCCGCGAGATGGTTTATTTCAGGGTTCTATATGACGTGGGTTGATTCCTAGCTGAGATAAATAAAACCGGGGACGGGGACAAAAATGACGGAGATCGTCGCACGCTCTGCCGTACTACTATTTTTTTGGTATCGAATTGCTCGATTTCGTATTCTTTTAATCCTGCGCAATATATGTTTATGTACGTCAGGTTGACGGTCCAACAGGTTTTCAGCCGCCATTCTGTCCCGTCAAACGACAATGAAATTGTGTGATATTTTTTGCTGAAAGATATTTTCGATCTCACAGTCACCTGATCTGAAATTTCTAAGTTATTCTCAGCCAGCCTCGACGTCAAATTGGCAGTAATATGTATTTTGTTGGTAGACCTTTTCTTACCGTGATCCCTGCACAGGTACCAGTTAGAAGTCAGACGCATCCGGTTATCGTCACCTGCTTTTGTGATTAATTTGACCAGACACGATTTTTGCTGACATCGTGCAGTTTCACGCACGGAGACGAATGTTCGAGTTCCGGGGGACGCACGAGGAAGGTAGAAGACTGGTCGAGCATCGGAGCAATGTGTTTATTAGTCTGCGCCTTCAAACTCGTGCAGGGCCACATCGCCAGAGATCGAGAGTAGCAGCAGCAGCAACCGAACAAGCCACACTTATAGGGCGGCGTGAGCCAATCAACGCTCAAGGACGCCAGTCCGAAGGCGACTGCACAGGACTCTGCGCCAGATCGATACATCGATTGACTGAGTTCTCATCCCAGGCAGAGGCTTCAATCAATTCGCTACTTGTCTTACTTCCGGCGTGGGCGATTATCTTGACGGTTACTAAGTTAACCTCGCGAGCCATTTCGTAGGCGTGGATAGCCACTTGCGATAATTCCTTGCCCTGTCGCACAGCCAGATTATGCTCACGCATGCGCACTCCGAGAATGCGTTCAGTTTGACCTGAGTAGTTACAAGGACAGTTTAGGTACGGGACGCGATACACTTCCTCAGATTGCTCCTCGGGATTTAGTCGGCCGTTGATTTTCGTGACCTTTGGGCTGGTGTGTAATTCCAGCATCTTGTCCTGCGGCAATGTACTCGGTCGCTTCTGAGACGTCATTAACGTAGGTATGACAGAACGCTTCATATCCCTGGTGGTGTTTCTGTCTGGGTCCTCCGGGCCACGCGCTCAGAGAGTGGCTTATAAACGACTTCGGATAGTGATTCCGCATAAATTGGTCGCGGAGACATCGAGCCTCGCGAGCCTTTTCCTCTGGCTTGCTGCAACGAGCCCGGCTCCGTTTAAAGAGCCTTCTCACACTCAGATTCGTTTGTCAACCACTGGTCAGTTGCTGTAAAAACTAGGATGTTGTGTAGTGTACGTTGCCCTTCTGCAAACCGCCGTCTCAATTCCAGCAGTAGGATTTCGACAGACGAGAATATCAAGGATAGGCAGCTGATGTTTTTGTTCCTTTCCCGTTGAGCAAGTTATGGAGGTTTTGCAGCTTGTTTTTCCTGACAGTAACAAACTTGTCGCCGGTGCCAAAATACTGGTCTATTTTGGATGACGACACTCTGTTCTATGTCTTATAGGACCAGTTCTGCCGCTAAACCGGAGACGGGGGAGCCCAGTAGAGTTTCTTTTGTCTACTTATAGGTTCCTTCAGCAAAGGTGAAGTACGTTTTTCGGCAACATTCGAACAGCCTCATGAGACATTCAATTATAAATGAACTTTGAGTTTCTTCGTGTGCCTCTTCAAGTCTCTGAGGTCGGACTTCGTTCACCATGTTCGGTGCGACAGATGTGAATAACGACGTCACATCAAAAGGGACCTACAGGTACTTCTTTGCTTTAAAGTACTTCCTGTCGTTTGCACTTGCGAATGAATGCAAATGTTCGAGTTCTAGGTGTGTGCACGGGGCAGGTAGAAAATTGGTCAAGCACCGGAACAATTCGTTTATTATTTTGAGCTCTGGAAGCCATTCAGGAGCCCATAGTCAGAGAGAGCGGCAGCAACGGGACAAACCACAGTTACAGGGGGTGCGAGCCAACCAGAGATCAAGGAAGCAAGTCTGGAGGTGGATGCGCAGGGCCGCGCATGCGGGCGCTCGATCGATTGGCTGACGTCTCATTCAAGACTCAAGCCTCAATCAATTCCCGGCTTGTCTTATTTCCGACGTGGGCGGTGATCTTGGTGGCCGCAATGTTGAACTTATGACCCATCTCGAAGGTGTAGGTAGCCACTTTCGACAGTGTGTCTTCCCGTCACAGAGCCAAATTATGTCCTTGTACATATGCACGATCGGAGGAAGCATATGTTCTGTCCGGCCTGTGTAGTTACAAGAACAGTTTTGGCACAGGATGCGGCACATTACCTCAGACGGTCCTTGGATGTTCATGACTCTGCTGCGCGTGGTTGCTGTTGGTCAGTGTGAAATTTCTGCACCTAGTCCGGCATCAGTGGGGTATGTGGTTTCCGAGACACCCTCAAGGTATGGCAGAGCGTGTCTTATCCTTGGTGATGTTTCTGTTTCGGTTCTCCGACGGGTGATTACGTGGGCATCGATTTACAAACACCTCAAATGGTCATTCTATGCTATTTCTTCGGGCTAGAAACAAATTCCAGCCTCAATTCCAGAAAATTTTAGGGCTTGTCAGAAAATCCTCCGGGTCCGGACTGGTGTAAAATTATTTTAAAACTTCATTTGTCCTCCTAAGTCCACGTGTGACCTGCACGCGACATTGTTTTCCTACTCAACGTAACAAAAGTCGTAAAGTGCCTGTCTGTTGCAGACTGAAAGACAATTAACTCTCCGCGAAAGCACATCTCCGGTGTCGACAAATAGATATGGCCCCTCACTTGAGGTGTCGAAGTTCACGAGGTCTTGGGAGGCAAACTGGCCCATCGTAATAACCCATTTTTATCAAAATTAATCATTCATCTGCCACTCTCCCTCCCCATGGGACCTAGACTTAAACCATTTAATCACACAGTGCTCAGAATGACACTGAAAAAAAAACTGAAGAGCTGAACTTCAGTGAGGACAGATGAACACCAAATTAATCAGATCTACTAGATCAGTCGACACTTCCTGATAGGGTGACAGGAAGTGTGCGTTTAAGAACTAATCTCCTGTCTCCGCTGAAGGTGTGCTTTTGACAGCTGCCAAATGCAGCAGCAGCAGCAGCAGCAGCAGCAGCAGCAGCAGCAGCAGCAGCAGCAGCAGCAGCAGCAGCAGCAGCAGCAGCAGCAGCAGCAGCAGCAGCAGCAGCAGCAGTAGCAGCAGCAGCAGATGTCATAACTGCTAGGCCAGAAGTTCGTGTATGTTGGCTACTAAAAACTAGGCTCGGAATATGCCGCCATAGTCGCTGATCAATTCTTTTCAAGCAGTCTGCAAGACGGGGTCCGGAACCCGTTCTTTGAGCACCTTGTCATTGCGGACCTCTTAGGCTGACATATTCGTAAGTGCTGACCTCTGTGCTGTAGGGGGGAGGGGAAGGTGAGAGACCCATCCACCCGAAGTGGGCCTCTTGTGCGCGCAATTTAGGGACTTTTCTCGTTGGCGCGCGGTGCAATGCACCCTCGCACTGTTGATTGACCCGCCACTTGATCGCCGGGCCTTTGTCGGCTGTTTCGCCCTTCAGCTCATCAAAAATGCAAATCGACCCCCCATGCTCGTGGTTGCACATGGCAACGTTGGAGCATATTTCTATGAGTTGGTGCTAAAGCATGCACCTTGCCAGCTAATTGTCACCCAAGATGAAATAAATGGTCGGGAAATTAGGATGCTTAACGTTGTAGAGGTGGAAGGGGGAGGAGAGGGGAGCCATGCTTATTGCAGGTCCATTAGCGCAGTCGATGTTTGCTGGTGTGCATCGTGTGTGACAGATAGTCATCGGGCTGCATTGTCAGCTATGAACGGATGCCTGCTATTGGACGCATTCAGCGTCTCCAAAAGTGCGGGGCGATCATTGTTTGAAATTACTCTCCTTTTTCGTCCAACCAGTCAATTGTAGACTGGAAACTAAACTGCGCACAGGATCTGCGTTTCTTATGACTGGTACATGGGAGAGGGAAATGTCGGGTCTAGGGATCCATCCCCACGATGAATCAACGCATTCTTCACAAGACTAAATTTGACAAGCCCCCTACCATTATATGTGTATCCCATTCATCATGGGCCACACTGTATTGGTGTTGACGTTTCTTCGTTCATGTTGATATATTTATATGCATGTCAAGTGGGCGTTTGACCCTCGCTGTTGTGGCTAGGATCTCACTCGATCCTATTCTGTCCGTCCGCCAGCTTGCTACTGGCGACAACAAACGCTGTGCCATAGGACACATACCACATGTAACACATAGGCAGCTCGATAAGAGTGCAGCAGACCAGACGCAGACAGCTGTTTCACGGTCGTTACCGATCATCAGTATGCGGTGACGTATATAAGCATGTTAAGTGGGAATTTGACCCTCATTGTTGTGGTTATGATCTCACTCGATCCTATGTGTCCTATGACAAGGCGTTCGCTGTCGCCTGTAGCAAGCCGGCGGGCGGAGAGAATTGGATCGAGTGAGATCCTAACCAGAACATTGAGGGACAAACGTCCACTTGAAATGCATATATACCTCACTTGATAAAGCCTACGACGTACTGATGATCGGTAACGACCGTGAAACAGCTGTCTGAGTCTGGCCTGTTACACTCTTAGCGAGCTGCCTATGTAATGTACATATATATATATATCAGGTGAATAATTTCAGAAATTAATCAGTGCAGAACTTGGAGTCAAATCTCCGGGACATTCTCTGTCGTCCCTCCTCGCTGCTATTGTGACTTGGCCGACTTCGGCCTGGTAATTGGTTGCCTGTTCGTGACCTTTGCCACACATACGGAGCTTGTTTGCTTTGTGAAGCCAATAGATCGGTGTGCGCCCATTCCTGATTGATATATATATATATATATATATGGAAAGGTAATACCGACAAAGACAAGGGAGACCGGAATGGCCATTTCTGGCTTATTAGCCGTCATCAGCCAGTCATACCCAACCCCAAGTGTGGATCACTTGAGATTCGAACCCGGGA